AATCTGTTAACAACTGATTTAAAAAAGAAAAAAAAAAAAACACAGAGGCAAGGCTTCTTATTCAGGATCCTTTCTCTAAATTATCAGATTTATCAAGATTTTACAATTCAGAGGGAGGCAAATTAAAAACTTTCTAATGGTTCAGTATGTTAAGTTTACCTGGCTCACACTAATCAGAGAATATTTTAGCTGGATTAAGGTCACAAAATATATTTCAAAATTACCATTTACAAACATGAACACACAACTCCAGGGCACACAGCGTATCTGGTACACTGTTTTAAGTTACTCCATAGGAACATGCGTACATCCTTTCACATAACAGATGACTGAAATCCATGACTAGAAGTAACAACAGGCCTAACATACAAACTCATTAGAAGAGTATCAAAGTTTTCATAATTTAACTTTACTCTTCCTCAGTTTTTCCAACTGTTTTTATACTGACTGTTGATTTACTGTAATGCTATTCAGCACCATACCTACAGACACTGAAGTTACTTCAGCTGAAGAGAGCCTTTGAAAGCCCTCATTGTACTTCACTGAGATCTTACACAACTGAATAAATTTTCTTTTTAATAACAGACATATGTAAGTGATTTGCCAAAACAATTTACAACTGGCAAAACTTTCAGGCACACTGATATACGTACTATGCAGCATGCATTTTCACACCAATAAAACACAGCTTTTGGGAAAAACAACTCTAAAGCTTAGATTACTCAGGTATACTTTTCTGGTCACAACACGAACACAGATAACGAGGCATCATTTTACATATTAAGTGAATCAAACATTTGTCATCTTTCAAATATTTTATTTTAGTACTTTTAAATATGTTTTAATACAACAAAGATATAAAACAATATATTAATTCAATCTGAGTTTAGAATCAAAACAATATTTACTTATTTACAGTACTCACTTTACACTTCACTGGCACACTTTCTCGCCATTAGGTAATACTATTTTCTCTGTTGGAACAAAATTGAAGTATTGAAGTTCAGTGTGAAAAGTCATGTTTCTACTTACATTAAGTACCACATACAATGCAACTTGCAGTTCTCGCATTTGACAAATGTCTCATGTTTGACAAAACTGAATTTGAAAGAGCAAAACTAAGTTACAGTTAGTCTTTCTAATGATGCAGTCACTGGGCTAACAGATCAGGTTATTGTGCTCCACATTTATCATCTTATATTCTTACACACCTATTACAAACTGGCTTTAAAAATGTGCACGTCACTGAATTATGTACATAACACTCACTGCAAATTTCTTAAAATACAAATGGTAAGTATGCAGGGTACTGCTATATGGGAAGTTCAGTGCTTACAATGCTAGTGTTTACAGGGTTGTCAGGGCTCTTCTTCATATAATGAATAAGACATCAGTAGGTTCATCCCAAAGGACTTTTTTTTCTCCCAGAAATACTGTTTCAATCACAATAGTGACAATGTCAAAGATACATCACAAAGTTATCTGTATGAATCACCAGTGGTCTACCAATTAACCTTTGGTTGATAAAGTCTACACATGCAAAACAACTGCAGAGGGTAAGCTGGCTCACTGCTAGGACTTCTGCCAAATATACTTCCATCTTGACAAGACTATGACGGCTTTTACAGGACAAGTTTCTATAAAAGTATCCTAGATTATTAAAAGAAGCCCAGAAAAACCAATATTGTCTGCTGATTACTGCAAATTCTCCCCAACTCTTCAGTACAGGGACAGCATGAAAAACTATCATAGTCATTATAGGTTATTTCTGTTATACTTCAGGTCCACAAAACCTACTTTTTTTTTCCTGAGACATCTGCTATTTTTTCAAACGCATATTTAATGATTAAGACTCAGCTCCACAATAGTTTTGGTGCTTGAAAACTTAGTGGACTTTTGTACATCAAAAAACTAGCTAAATAGTAACGAACAAGTGTAGCACTACAGTATGCAAGCACTGCTTAAAAAAAGCCAAGGAGATATTAACTGTTGCAAAAGACTTGTGCTGATGTCTCAGTTCAACCCTTCCCTCTTTTCCTTCCATACTCTTTTTGGCACTACATGAGACACAGCCTTATAGAAAAGATTATAGGAACCTGCATTTTTATCCTCATTGAAGGGTTTCAATACTTCTGAAGAGCCTTATTTAATATGCTTGCGTCAAAAAACATTTTTTTTCAAATCATTTAACTGACTCTTGCTTCTTGAAGCAGCTAACTATAAAGGTTTTGTCTTGCTGCTTTTTTTTTTTTTTACAGACTTATTCTCTCAGTACCTCGTTAAGTAGTAATTTTTTTTTTTTAAATTCTACTGGAATGTTTTCTTACAGACTTATTCTCAGTACCTCATTAAGTAGTAATTTTTTTTTTTTTAAATTCTACTGGAATGTTTTCTTCTATAGTAGGTGGGGAGGGGAGGAAATCAGAGAAAACTAAAAAGAAAGTGACATTACCTGTTCCCATTACTGTAGCAGTATACCACACACAGCATGCACTTGGCCTTATCCAAGAAAACACAAATGGTAACCCCCACTGAAGTCAGAGTATTATTTAGTGATGTGCTTGAAGTTAAGCATATAATTTGCTTCATCACAAGCAGTACACCTACAGGATCCAATTCTTGCTGGTCTTGGACATTCAAATACATCATGCCTATCTACATTTCTGTACCAACACTTTGCATAAGTGTTATCTTGTTTGCCAGAGGACACGAAGATAACTAACCTATATGGAAGCTTTCTATATTATTTTTCAAGAACAGCTGGAGGAACCGTGCTTAAAGATCCTTCCATAAGCTTTTGTCATTGTAACCAGAATTTGCTAAAAAACCCCAACATCTATGAAAGTAATTTCTGCATGCTGGTGTAATGTCATAAACCCAATACTTTAAGGGATCTTCCAGAAAGGAAAAACTAAAGGCAAAAAATTTAGGAACGCTATTATAAGCTGTGTCATAAGGTACAACAAAAACAAAAAAAAAAAAAGGAGGGGGGAGCACCTATGTGCCTATCACTTTCAGGTGTGTGCATACATATCCCCAAACTGATAATAAGGAAGAGCTCAAGACTACTGTCAAGTCTCAAGTATTACCAGATTTGCTAAGCTACCAAAAAAGTGTCCCTCCCCTTCTTTTGTATATCCAGTTACTCGGTTAAGACTTTTCTACTTGATTAGATTGTGCACTCTGTGGCACTGATGTTGTCAGACACGTAGGCTTCCCAACATAACGCAGCAATTCATTCGTTACTCTGCAGTCAGATTATGTGTGCGCTCTCACAGACCTCAGGAGATGACTTTGCACAAAACAGGTGCAGCAAGTTAAAGGACAGCAAAAAAGACCGGTGCACAAATACGAGGGAGAAGGACAACCCTGAACGTGCTTAGCATTAAGCCCAAGGCCCAACAATGCTCTGCTGCCTTTACTTACAAGTGCTTGTCAGCAGCAGAAAAGCAGCAAAATGCTTTTACAACACTAACTCTTTAAAAAGGAGGTACAGAATTTTAAGCTTGTCAGTTACGTGCAACTTGTTTCCATCTAATTAACAATAAAGCTTACTTTACAGACTGACTATGCAATCAGGTTTTTCTGTCTTCTATCAATTTCAAGCCTTCCTCTTGGGTGTTTACAAACAGGGTAACTTCCAAAACAGAAGACCACAATTATCCTGACAATGTTTTAACCCACTTCAATGCTCACAAACCCAACCTCTGTATAGTACTTATCTTGGACTCAGATATTTAGCATCAAGGGAAACAGCCCAAAAGAACAAGTTTCCTTTAAAAAATACCGATAGGCAATACTGATTTAAAACATGGATTTACTTAACAGAATTTGAAAAATTAAATTAGAACAAGAAGAGAAGCTTTATCTTTCAAAGATTATGAATTTCCATTTTAAAAAAGTATTGAAATTATAGTTTTACTTTATGTAAACATTGTTACATTGGGCTGTACTTGAAAATTCTCTTGCATGTCCAAGTTGCAAAATAATTAGCTATTTAGCTAGTTAATACTGACATAGTTCTTTTCAGCATCAACAGCTTTGCAGTTAATTGCATACCTCTCCACATGTTATAACTCAGAGTACAATCCTGCACATCCTGAGAACAGATGTTTCCTAGAGTTTAAAAACGAGCATTCATAACTGTGTGTTATGTGCAAATATAAATTAACAAAGAGAGCTCCTTGATTATAAAGTCTCAAAAGGAATGTTCAAATTGCCTTTCTGAAATCAGAAAGGTAAGAACAGCAAATTAAAAGTCTTTAAATATTTCAGAATATTTTTTCCTTTTTTTCTTATGTGTAAGCATATTCCCCCAATTTGGATGGCAAGAGCCATTAGGCTATGGCAGATTGAACATTATAATATTATACCTGCAATTTTGCTAAAAAAATTGGAATGTTACAAATATAAAAGTCTGCAGAATAGTACAATGTATGTGTGCTCAATACAGTTGGCAGAAATACTCTAAGATGCACAATTCCTCTGTGGAACAGGAGCTAAATTAAGTTACAAAAGTAATATACTATGAAGAGCAGAAGACAGTCAAGTTAGTACAATCCAGGTATATAAAAGGAACACAATACAGCAGGGAGTAGCCCACAGCAGGTTACAAGCCTCCAAATACAAAACTGTCTTGCAAAATTCCAAAGGGATTCTTTTCCATGCAAACGTTAAGTATATTGTGGCCATTAAATAGGCTTGTACCAAGCTGGAAATGCTTTCCAGTAACTTTCCACGGCTGACTTATGCTACCTTTTGCATATACCACCTATTCTGAACTTGCAATAACCAAATTAAAAAGTCTATACCATTTTTATGATTTGCACCTTTTACCTATCAGTTGTCATTTAGTGTAAATCTAATTTCAAGTCTCTACAGCCAACGTTAGCATTGTCCCCTTACAAACTACCATGCAAGAGGTCACCAACTGTGTGACCCTTGCTTACATGTTATGGACTCAGAGTGTTGGTTTGGGGTTTTGGGGGTGTTTTGTTGTGTTGGTTTTTTTTTTTTTAAACGACCAAAACTCAACTGCTTATTTTACTTTTATCTTTCAGCGTAGTAAATGAGCAACTTAAAGAACTAGCCTCTTTTCATACTTGTTAGAAGAACATATACTGTATTTATATATATGTAAACAAATATACTGTGTGTGTATATATATCCAAAGATATTCACCATATTGTTGACACCAGAGTGCTAAAACATACATCAATATGAGCACTATTTCCAATACTCACTATTATTACTTGTCCTGAAAGAGTTACTACATGCATTTTCCCCATCCATTTATGGGACAATAAGATATATGAAGATAACTGTTCTGTTTTTCCAATGTTAACGAGCTGCTCCTAAAAAGCATGCACAGGTTTGGGTATAAAGCAATTAAAACCACACAAAAGTTATTCTGTGGCTTTAAACTCACTAAAGCTAAATTAACTTGACTTTCTGTGGACGTAGCATTTACTTTAACTCATTTATTTAAACACAAAAGGGAAAACTTCCAAGTGTCAGAACAACCATACAGACAACTGATAGACTAGACTAAATAAGCTCTCATTAAAAAAACACATCGTCACTGCATAGCCACAAGGCAGACTTTCATTTTTGGCAACCTGTATACAGACCATTTATACTGTCAATTATACTTTAAGACTTGTTATTTAACAGTTAAGAGACCCTTTTAGAACAAGAAACTACTCTGCTTTCCTCATTATGACACAGTACTCCTCAGTCTTTAAGAATACACAGAGTTTGTTTTGAAAATTTGACTGTTTTAAAAGAAAATCTTCATAAAGTTCTGATTTTTTAGTCAGTATATGTGAAGGCTGGCATGTCAGGTAACGGAGATTATTTCAACCTGTAAAGGGTGTATTATATTCAGTACAAGCACATATTTGACATTAAAGTTACTTAAACATTCACACAGAACCTTACTGAGGGTAAGAGTATTCTGATTCATATTCACGGTTCACTGACAGCCTTTACCAGTCCCTGCATTGTTTTCTATTCTAGCAACAAGAAAACAAAACCACATCCCTGTGAAGTATGGGAACCCCACTTTATGGCTAAGAATCTAAGAAACAAGACAAGGAGGAGGAGATCATGGAGTGAAACATGTTACTTTATATCCCCCGCCAGCTAGCCTTGTAGGATCTTAGTCATAATGCTTCATAACAACCTGAACTGACTCGCACGCTCCTCAGCCAATCAATCTTTTCAGTATAGTCGGTTTTGAAAAGGGCCAGCAATACTCGTTGGGAACAGTACCGTTAACATTGCATTCAAAAAAAGAAAACATCGGAAACCAGATCCTTGCTCTCCTACTCTGTTGATATGCTCTAGTATTAGCCAACGTATGGTAATACAAAAAGAGTCTTGTAGTGATGTAAAAGGCAATGAAGACATCTATAGAATAATGTTCATGTGCAGCCAAAATGAAGAAGATTCCAAAGAGATTCAGGACCCAAGATAAGGTATGCAAGAAGTTCCAGCTCCTTGGCGTATCTAGGAGAGAACAGAAAGTGACTAACTAAGTGCCTCAAAAACATGGATCATAAAAAAATCCAGGCCTAGACATGGCAAGTTTTTATACAAATTTTTCATCAAAAAATGTAACAAAGTTACTGTTTTCACCTGCAAATTTTGTTCTCATCTACAGGCCAAATAAATCCAATGAAAACAACCACATAAGTTATAAATGTCTATCACTTTATGACTTCATTTACTAATACAGCTATGATGCATTTCTGGATTAAGAGAGCGTCCTAAAATAGTTTAGCATCCTAAAATAGCAGAATTCTTTGCTCAACCAACTTCTTTTAATGAAAATCATGCCTTTTCCATGTAAAAAGGTGAAAAATGTCATAAAGCATATATTATTCTGTTATTGTCGTCATTCCATCATAGGTGAACTCAAACTAATTATCTTAGCTTGCTATATAATGTATCAAATTGCACTTATTTACTCAAGAGCACTGTTGTTGCATATATTCTCACTCATTATGAGGCTTGGTATTTGGCTTTATGGATTATACTAAATGTACAGCCACCAAGCCTGGTATTTTGCCTTATGGGAGTCACTGGCAGATACCTAGGGAAGCGTACAGAAACCGACAATCGTAAGTATCTTCCCTAGTATTCTCCCAGTAGCAATCCAGAAGCCTTTCCGATTTCCTTGGCTCACATGTTCTTTCATATGTGCCCTATTCATCCTTCCATTAATCTAGGCGGTGCTGCTCCTTTCCTGCCTGCAACTGAACTGTCACAAATATGAGAAAGAGCACAGCAATGTGAAGTTATATTGATTTGCTTTAATGTTACACTCTGAACTTTTTGATAAGGTCAAGCAGCAGATACTCTTAATGCTTAGGGACATTTAAGTATTTACACTCTCGCACCCTTGGTTGATAGCAAGCAGTACATATTCTTAACACTTAAGGACATTTAAGTATCGACACTGTGTACTTACATTCTGTGACAAAGAAGTTGAGCATGGTCAGGACAACAGTGTGGCCACTGAACATATAATCTCCACACGTATGTACTCCAGTCAGAGTCATTCCAAAGCCACTCCATATTGCAAATGCCCGCTGGAGTTTTGCCCAAACACTGCCATACAGCTAAAAGACAGTGACATTAACCTTTATTAAGTTCCAACCCCACTGCCCGAACGCTATGTCCTTGAAGTTAGCTGTATAGCACTATGTAGGTTTAACACCATTTATCATGTTGGGTCTTTTGTTAAAATACAGGTTAGCACATCTTTGGATTTTATTGTGGCAATGAGTCACATTAGTAACTACAATTATTCCTTATATTCATCATACCTCTGATGAATACTGGAATTTAGAGCAAGTATTTCGCTGCAAGTAACTTATACACAGAGACTGCCACCTTTTTTTGGATGTATTCAGCCTCCCAAGGTGTCATTGTCAAGCTTCCAATATATTCAGCTCAATCCTCTTCTAATTAAAAGTTAGGATAAATAATGAAAACTCATGTTCTATGGAATATCCCTTACTGGGAGGGGTGAAAAAATAACAGGGTGTTGGTTTGTTGGGTTGTTTTTTTTTTTCCAAAACCATGCATCCAACAAGACTAAGAAGTGATTACGCCACTTTCAGCTTTTTTTCTTCAAGTCAGTATCTTAAGCGCATGCTTCTCTGATGCGTTCTCTCCAGTTCACAATATGCAATATTCTGAACACCCTTCCCCAAGTAACTGTCTCCCCTCCAAAGTGGAAAGTGCTTCTAAGACCCCTAGTTCTTACGCTGTTCTTACAAACACACATCTAACATTATGGTCACAGCAATCTTAATAATACCTTAAATAAAATTTTTAAAAAAGGAAACAAGAAAAATAATTTAAAGCATTTTACGTTTTTACCTTTCCAGTACACTGCAAGTGCTGGCCTGGCACAGAGAGTGAGGTAACAAACATTGTAACACAACGTAATAAGAATACTGTCCCCATGAGGCTGCACAGCCTTCGCAGAAGTATAGATCTGGGAAAAATACATAGGAACTGATTGCAAGAATCCTAACATATTCTATTTTTACATCAGGAAAGTTACGATAAAAACATTGCCCCTCAGCCCAACTTAATCCCATTAAGTCCCTTCATCATTGCTGCAAGTTTCACAGTAAAAAAAAAAAAATTATTTTAAGTTATACTGTAAAGGTATGGTTCCACATGACAGGGCGAGACACTGTAGCAAGCTTACTGTCACCAAAAGGTACAGCCCCACTCCTCTGCAACTACACTTGTACTAGCTTTAGCACTCATGCCTTCTGTTGGCAAACTGATTAAAAAAAAAAAAAAAATCAACAAACTGGTAAAAATTTAACTTCAAATACTCACGCACACAAAAGGGTTTTCTACCCTTCAGTGACAGCAAGCTGCTAGACTGGCACAGTCATCCTGCAGAATTTCATTCTTGTACGATTTTATTATTTATGCACAAAATTTTTATGGTATGAGAGTATATAGTGACAACTCTCTGAAATATATACGTTCTGAAAGAAATTACACATAAATCTGGTAGAAAAGTAAATTCAGATTACTCATTTGATCCACAAGATCCACAAGTCACCATTCTTGATTAAATCCTCCCTAATCCATTTTAATAGGAACATATTAGAAGCTTACAAGTTTCTTACTAAATGGAAAGCCTTAAAAATCATCATAAATTCTTGTTACAGTCCTTTCTCTGAATCAAAGTACCAGTTAATTTGAATTTTATATACTGTACCTGTGTTTGTGAAGCAGAAGAACCAACAGCCAAATGTAGCAAAGAATTACGCCACATACTTCAGTCATAGCAAAAGCCCATGGTATCCTAGGGACGCTAAAATATAAAAAAGGATGAAGGAAGAAAGTTAACTTACAATGCAAAGGCTTAATTTTTCCTTCTAGCCTCAGTATTTAGAATAAAAGCATATAAAATTCCAACTACAAAACTAACTTGTATTAATCTGACAACAGTTTAAACTACAACCAAAAACTATTTTGTTAGACTGAATTAAATAGAATTTGTATTAATATTTAATTACATTATCTGCTTTCTAATAATACCTTTTCAGCAGGCATTTACACAGAATTCAGTAAGTCAAAGAAAATGTCTCATATGCTCTCTTAATTTACATGTGTGATTTACTAACAGGATGTGTTCCTCTACCACTGTTTCCCAACAACCTTTTCATTCTGACACAAACTTGCATCACGTCAATTATGCCGCTTATGCTTATAAGAATGCCATGTCAACACAATTAATGAAATGCTGCAAAGCCTAAAATCATAAATACTCGCAATGAAGCAGAACTGCACAGAAGTGTTTGAAAACAAATTTTACTTTTCCTAAGTTAGATTTCAATGATAAGCACTATATGCAAACCTTTTAGCCTTGCTTGTCAAAAAATTTAAGACTTTCTTGCACGCATATGGCACCAGTAACAATTTCTGTTCTGCAGTTTCACCAAAATACAGATTGACAGATTTCAAGAGAGGCTGCTCCCTCATCATTTTGTGTTGCCCGTGATACAAAGGCATAGCAAAGCACTGCTCAAATGCTAGCTGTGCAGTAATCCCCTCACATTGTTTTGTGAGCTGCTGCTTTCTGACCTCCCCCATCCTGCCCACTGAATACCACGGTAGCACCCTGGGAACAAAACCCAGTAATACCATAGCTCCCGTTCTCTCTCCTCTCTCCCACTCTGCTGGACGTGGTCCATCCTTGCTGAGTTTTATATAAATTTATGGGGGATTCTGCACACTTACTCAAAAGATTAGACCCCTACCGACTTCACAAAAACCATTCATGAAAATGGAAATTACTGGCAGGAATAAGGAGACTGCAAAGACAGAAGTCTTAAACAGTTTATCTTTTCTTTTAAAACTCTCTAGGCAGTAAGCTCTCTATGCTGTAAGTACGCTTGCTCAAAGGGAGCATTTATCTCCCATTAAATCTGATGTCAATGACTAGAATTTCACCTTTGCTACTGTGCCTCTCTTCTGCCTGAAGTGGAATATCTTCTTAAAAAAATGAGCAGGTGCTATGTCAGGCACAACAGTGTTTTAGTACACAGATACTCTATGGCTAAAAAAGATACTGGTCTACTCAGTCTACTTCAGTTTCCCTAAACCATTTTCAACAAGTTGACAGTGGGGAGACAGCATAAATACAGGATCAATATTATTCCCTTTCAATTTCCTTGCTCACTGGCACACCAAAATATTCTTTCATCAAATTTTTTTCTCAATCAAGACATATTAAGCTTCACAGCAGCATCTGGATTTGAGAAAAAGCATATGGCTACTTATCTGTGCCAGCTGACCGTCACCCTTTTTACTAGAATAAGTGGATGGCCAAATTAATTCCTGTGTTGTGATTAGCTGAAAATGTAGAATAAAATGTAAACTGGGTAGAACAGCAGCTCAATTTATTTTTCCCCAAGAAGACTAAATCTCTACATGTAACTGACACACATTTCAATCTCAGCAGAAGAGTTTACTACACTCTAATTGCTATTTTGCAGAGGCATCTTCAAGAGCACATGAAACTCTGAAAATGAAGAAAAGACAGCCTATACTTTAACCATCAAGTTACTGTTTTGTTTTAAAAGAAAATTTCTTACCTATCCAGAAATATGTCTGGTAGAGGTGGATATGTTTGCATGTCAGGTACTCGCTCATGTACTATAACCATAACGAATGACGTAAAGCCAAACACTATGAAGACATACACACAACTTAAAACTGTCTTCCAATACTCTGGGTCCAGTCTTCGGGTAGAGTGTTTGTTTTTTCCGTTTGCATATTGATACTGATCACCATTCAAGTCAGTAATTGGCCCATCATAGTCCCGTGGTACCTCACCATTACAAAACCAATCTGTACCCTGTAGTGAACCAACACTTGGGCACACTGTGCCAACATGACTGTCGCTGTTGTAACCCAGCTCTTCCAGGACATCAATGTGTTGCTTCTGTAGCTTGCGTATGGACAACATTAGCCTTTTGATATCCCCCAGGACTTTGATTTCCAAAGGAGGGGATCGTAAATCATATTCAGTAAGTGTCAGCAGTGTAATTCCATCTAGCCTGTGTCTATTGCACAAAACATCCACGTATTCGCAGAAACCTTCTTCTTTCAGCCACTTGGCCACGTTCTTGGTAGTCCAACGTCGAATGCAAAGCTGGTTGTTGCCCGCCATCATCCTTCTCTATCCGCCAAGAAAATTGACCTGTTTACATGTTGGAGAAACAGAGAAGTCCTGAATGTTTAATGAAGATTACTGAAATGCCAGTGTACTTTGTGCGATTTTAGATGCTTAGTTAGCCAAAGGCTTTTTATAGAAGAGCCAGCTAAAAACCAGACATATAATTTGTTAGGTAAGTAATACAAAAATGCCTTTTAAAACATTTTTTTATTCAAGCAAAACTAAATTAAGATTAGCTCACTTGTTCCTAAATAGAAATTTAAAGCTACCAAGAAGCAGAATAATACCTAGATGTACCCAGTCTACTTTTATTCTTTTGCTAAAAAAAAAAAAATTAAAATCTGAGTTTGCCAGTTACACTAGGCACTGAAAAACAAAGATTACTCCATTTAAATACCAGCTTAATCATGTCTTTTCCACTGTTTGCAGTTCATAAACTAAGCAAGAAGGCATAGCCAGCAACCATATAAAACTGAATAAAAGCTAAAATAATACATTACATGTCCAATACATTCCACTGTTTTAAAATATCTGAAGCTCTGGTGGCATGAAATTTCTCCCCCACACCTCCCAAGTAAACCTAAGACTAGGTATCTACAATAACATTGACCTGCGGCATCTTAGCTATATGTTGATGGTGCAGCCATCATATTTCTATCTTTCTTTGATCTCAGTAATTTACATGCTTATTTTATGGTGAATCCTTTACATAACTAGAAATTAAGCATTAGCTTTAATTCCAAGGCATCTCCAAAAATGGTATGGCAATAGCTAACACAGAAACACACCAAAACCAGAAAAGATGTATTCTCTTCATACACGTTTCTCAATAATTGTTTCCTTGACTCAAGAATATTGTTTGAAGGAAGCAAGACATCTCAGCAACATTTTAGTTGCATGGAGGTAACAAGTCACCAGAACAACTTAAAACAACAACCAGAAAAAAGTTAACCACGGTATGTTACATGGAATACACGAAAAAAAAAACCCAAACTTTGAAAGGCTACCAGTCATGTAAAAATAATAAAAAGCTTATCCAATATTTAAGACCCACCGCAGTGGAGAATGGATTTGTGCATAATTTATATTTGGTGGCTTATGTACAGCTACCATCTAAGAAACAGCTACAATTTCACAGCTCTTTTGTACTTGGAAAAAGTCTAATTAACTAGAAGGCTTCAATCATGCCAACCAAATCTCAGAAAATACAAGATAGTACAATACACTAGTGCCACATACATCAGTCAATGTTTTCAGAATGAAAGGGAACAGTCTATTTAATCTATTATTTAACTTCTGGATATAGTTAACAGGTACTCAAACCCATCATGAATATTCAACACAAAGTTTTACATCATTTTCAGGGGCACAGCTCTTCCACAAACAGCAGCTCTTTCCTTCTCACTTAGTTTTAAAGAGGTACTGTACCCACTGTCAGCAGTAGCTCTTATCATAATTATTGGATGCAACTTTTTCTTCCAGATTGCATCTAATAAGATCACACATGATTTATTCTGTATCAGAGAAGAAAAATAAGCACACAAATCAAAGTTCTCTTCTAAAAGAATTAAGGGAGTGGTACTTCTGAAGATATTCTCTCTGGAGTTGATTGTATATTAACAACATGTACTTAATCCATAGTTCTAACTTCTCAAAACTCCATATACAGACAATATGTATATAGGCTTTAATGCCTTGATTTAAACAGTTGCCAAAACATCCATAAACCAGCACTAGAATCTCTGCATTTACTGTACTCTTCCTTCTCCATATAAAAGGTTATTTGCTCATTTCTATGTTATCTTCTTATTTTTGAAGTCTTGCTCAAAACAAACCTAGCAACTACTTTGCTCAAACACCTATTAACAAATTATGAAATTTAATTTTTAATTAATGATCAGCTAATTGACCTTTTTTGTACCTCATATTTTTATCTTACTCCAGTAAAACAAAAAAACCTGAGTTGCTTATCTGGACTTCCAGCTTTCCTTACTCAGAAATACAGATGAAATACTGAAAAAAAAAAAAAGGTTAATTGTAGTGTTTTTTTATAAGACTGTAATCATCACAAGTTTTCTAAAAGCAGTGAATTTAGACTCACCAAAAATACACTCAACTCGCTGATTTGTCTTCTAACCAACACAACTTCTGAGGGCAGAGGCAGGAAACTCTCCCTCACTGATGAGAATTCTGTTCGTCACAAGACAAGTAGCCTAACACCAGCCTAGCGTTTCTTCATCTGGCGTTGCAGGAATAAAAATCAACCCTTACATTAAGTGCCTTAAAAGTGACTTTACAACACTGAATAAGCACACCCATCAAAGGTCACTGCTGAATGGGCTGGACCTGGGAGAAAGTCTACCTTTAAGATGCACCTGATAGCACTTGCTCCTGGTTTTAAATGCTGTCAAAGACAAGACATTTAACCAACTGAAAAAGACTGAGAACTCATCAGAAGAAACAAGCACAAAACACAAACTTAAACCATTCCACACAGCTGGTGGCTAATTTCATTGCAACAGCAACAGTTAAGTTCGGCTTTGATGACAAGGCACTTTTTTTAAACTCAGAAGCTGCCTTCTGCTTCAGACTACTCATTTAGTGCCACTTTTGTAGCTTAAAGGGTAAAGAGCACTTTCCCTAATAATCTCAGCACCTGGAATACAATGCAGTTCTCTGTGCTCAGCTGCTCCTGCTCATTTTTGAAGCTTAGGAATGCTACATAACATTTCCAACACTACCAGTCTGCAACGCAAGACTAGTGTAGAAGAGACCAAGCCATCTATATGTACTTGTCACCAACTGTACTTGTCTTCTGGAAGAAAACAGCACTGGTGACTACTTTGCCTTCTACGTTACTGGTTTTATTGCTGAAACCAAATAATGGATAACATTATTTAATGATGAACACCACGCATGAGTAACTCAGAGCAAGCACAGACTTAAGCGTCAGAGGGCAAAATATACTTTTTGCCTGACATCAGCAGTGTCTGTAGCTAGCTGCTTGATTACTTCCCTGCTGTGACTTTATATTTAGTCAGCTCATCAGCAGTGTGTATCATGTGTCCTGTTTCCCTTTTTCCTTCCCCAGCCTTTCAATTAACAGCATGAACACAACCGAACATGAACTTCATGTATTAACTTTTTTAAAGTAACATTTTTCTTTTATGAGCCATGAACATTTCTACAATTTCATTAAGGCGTTTTAAAAAAATGAGAGGCCTCTGAGAGATTCAGTATTCCCTTAGCACAGTAATTTTTTCTAAATGTATATTTAAATATGGAAAATCAGTCTCTCTCAAAACAATTATCCACAATTCCATCACGCTTTTCTCTACTGAATTACTGCTAGTCAGTTAAGTCCCTAACTTTCCTAGCATGCAGACACTGAGTCCGTATATTGACATGAAAATGTTATGATTATCGCTACTCTAGCCAAGGAAAAGCAGCATTAATATCACACTAACAGTAGGCTGCAATCTTGTTAACAGAAACAAAACTTGATCACACCAGATTTGTAGCTGAAGGGTTAAATAAGATCCCAGTTAAGCCTGCAGCAGTTAGCAGAATGCTGAATGGATTTGTTTATTCCAGGCAAGCATGCAAAACTCTACCAGCACCATTACTGCCTCCCTCATGTGCCTGGGAGAGCCTGTGGCCCTCCTCGCTGACATGCCTCTTGGTTTTTTTCCCCAGCTAGGTTCAATTCTCACCATCCTTGAGAGGAATTTTAGGAAGGACACTGAAGAACTATCAGATGTCAAGTGATTTAACCTATGTTCCTTCGTAGAAGGTTTCAAGCTGAAGTTTGAATATAGGCAATTCCAACTCAGCCCCTCCTGCGCTGGGTTCACTGGCCCAGGAGCACGACATCTCACTTTGGGGGAAAAGTTGTTCTGTACAAAAGCTGGTGGCTCACAATGTGGACAAGACCCAGGCTTGAGGCCTTGTCTCGCCAACACAAAAAAGCCATACACAAAACCGCACGCTGAGCCAGCCTGCAATAACAAGGCTCCTGTCACATACCGACTTAGTAACGCTGTGCTGGAAAAAACACACAGCACTGCCTTGTTATGCATCAAAAGTCTCGGATACGCTGCTGACTTATATCAGAAGCTTGTCACTTGCTCTTCCTGAAAAGCCTAAATTCTTCAGTGCTTATTTAAAGCAAATAGCACCAAAGGTTTTGTTGCCACATAGTATGCAGTAACTTAATCCTTACCTTCTAAATGCCACCATATATAGTACAGTATCTTGTAAACAAAAGAACACTTGCAAAAACAACACATGATTTTGAGGGTGTTTAATACAATAGCTACCACGCTATATATAAAACTGATCAAATACAGAAAAATGCCCACCGTGAGACTGAAAAATTGGGTATTTTCCTGAAACATGCATACAATAACTTCAAATGCAGAAATACTCCTGTAAAACTTGCATACAGTTTCACTTAGTGACTTTGCTATCGGAGTTGTTTCATAAACATTTCCAGTAAGTGAGATTAACAGCAGTATTTTAACCATACTCAAAGGTCTTAGTGCTATTTATGAAGGTAAGGTAAGGTAAGGAATCTCGAAGTAACACTTGTTTAGTTTATCGTATGCCTTAGGTTTTAAACCATCAAGGAAGATGCGCTTTTCAAAAATTATTGAAGTGCTGCATTGTGGAAAATACAGAACTGATACTGTAAAATCAAAGATTAGCTCCGTATGCTTACAAGTCTTTCTGTTGGAACGCCTCCATGCAAAACTGACAGCAGCTACTACAGAAAGTCCTGAAGGCTGAACATATTTGTCTTAAGAACCACTAAGTGCAATTACATATTGCAGCAAGCTGAACAGAATACACACTGCTCCCTGACTTTTACACCTCTTAAAGCAAATGGGTTGTACTATGCTCAAGTGAACGCTAAGAGTGGCTCAACTCCCAATCTACTAATCAGCTAACAAAACATTTTTTATCCTACCATAATTCAAGGCACACACAAGTGATTTTTAAACAACTGATCAAGTACTCCACCACTTATCTTAGGATGTAATTCACAGTATTTCATTAATATTTGTACAAGATCTTGAACACTTCACATGCTAAGTGTCAAGTGTCGAGTATTTTTTCCTCTAACTTCAAGAAATAGTATACCCATGTCATAACAGAATGTTTGCTGCTCTTTATCCTTATACACCTTAGCAGTAACACAATTCAGGTTTGCTTTTCCCCTTTTATTTCTTTCTTTTCTTCCCACATCCTCATCTTAGGATGGAAATAGGGGAAGACATGAACAAATTCTCCATCCAAATTAATACCAGAACGATATCCGAAGTGAAACCGTGTTTCTTCTTATTCTCCACAATCATTTACAACATGATCTTTCTGGTCTAGTGAAAAATCTAGGAGCCTTCTTCATTTTAGATGCATTAAAATAAATAAGAAATAAAAAAACTTTTTAAAGTTCTCTGGTTACCAAAAAGCCATTTATAATGTAATATGGTTTACAGTTCTCAACCAGCTTAGCAGCCTGCAAAACTGAGCTCTGTACAAAGAAAAGCGATAGCACAGAGTCTGAAAGATTGCAACTCCTAGGCCAACCTGTGTTTTTAGTTGTATACCACCAAAAAAACCACTCAACCAACCAACAATAAGACCACACAGAATAGCAAACAAGGTAATTTAAAATTCTTGCTCTTTAAAAATCAACAGAATGTTTCCTTCACATCCAAGTAGCACTTGTGGAACAAAAACTTAGGAAGCTTCCTGAAGAACTTCCTTCCACTGGGTATAAAAATCACTTTGCCCCAATCCTGTGAGTTAATGCCACCTCTTTTCTATATCACAGAAAGCAAAAGGAAGAACAAGACCGCAGGCATTTCCTTACCTCTGATATCCAGCAAGAGGCACCCCCTACCAAACATGAGGGGCATTTAAATGCCAGGAAATGTCTTGCTGAGTTCTCACCACTCCAGAGCACAGCGTGATCAGCTGCGCTGGGGCGGAGGCACAGGCACCCGTGTCCAGCTGCAGGAGGGAGCTCTGTGGAGATGGAGCATACTTAGCACGAGAGGCATCCTCCATCGAGTCACCTTACAACGCAGAACGTGCGTTGCGTTTTTATAAAAATGAGTTTTGCAAACTGAAGCATCAAATACAAAACCATGAGACCACTTCAACTCCAGTTACAACCCAATAAATACGTGAACATTAAAACTGCCTCTCGTTTGCCTCTTCTTCCATTAACTTACAGAGCTGAAAGACCCTACCCTTTTGAAGTATTATTTTTAAAAACCAGCAATCATTAAGTGGATAGTCTGACAGGCCACCTAATGCATTAGCAGTGTAGGTTTGAGATCACATCACTGAGCAGGTAACAGTTCCCGCAGTTTCAACTTTCTAAACATGTGCAGGCCTTAAACTCACACAAAACGTGTCCTACGCAGGCAGACCCCTCCATTCAGTCCTGAAACTCAAACAGCACACACGCAGAACAGTAACGGTGCCTTTCCACACTGCCTTGTTAATTACCAAATCCTACATCGTCAAAACCTTTTTTACTCCAAACTACATACTTTGCCCTCAGGAAAGCCACCAATTCCACGCCGCGGGCAGAGAACAGAGTAAGGCAGCTCGCTGTTTCGCTGTCTAACCCTTAGACTGACACAAAGCACAAGCACTCGGCATCATTCCCAGAAACGATTTGTTCCCTGAGAAGGCTGACACAGGACCGAGAAACCAAACCGTTTCCCTCTCCTACCAGACCCGCTACAAAGGAAAAACACCGCAGCAGCAGCAGCACGCCCCGGACCTACCTGGCGTTTTACCCGTTCCCGCTCAGCACGCTGCGGATCCGGCCGCCTCCCCCCAAAACACGTCCGCACCCCGCCTGCTACTACCGAGGCTTTTCCCCTCCTTGATCGCTGCCGAATTTACAAAGTTCGGAAGGAAAGCGACGCAACCGGGCGCAGAACCTCGGGCGCCTCATCCTCCCCGCGGCAGGGAAATCACCTGAGCGAGGAGCACGCGGGACCTGTAGCGTCTCCGCAGAGCGGTCCCCCCCGGCCCAGCCGCCAG